CAAAAAAACACACAGCTCTAAGCAGAAATTTGGTTTTCACCTAGCACAGCAGTATACATATAATATAAATTCCAGTTCACTCACCATCTTCTTGTGCATAATTTTCTCAAGTAGTCCAATTGTGTAGGAAGAGCCCCTTGAACCCTCGCTAGCCTGCAAGATTGTTCTGTAAAAAGCTCGTAAGTCGATGCCCTTTTCCAAGGAACTATCCCAAAATCGTCGTTAAATTCCTCCATGCCCTCGACCAGAAACTGCCAGACTAAAGATCCGGCTCCCGACCTATTTTTTATGGCCGATTTGTAAATTATGTCGAGAATCACTTTGTAGAATTTCTCACGTTGTGTGGGGGTGAAATCCTTGTTCAGGGTGGATAATCCGAATTCGGTAAACATTACGGGCTTTTTCAGTTCCTTATCACCATCCTCAATGTGGGATAGCATCCACTTGGAGACGAATTTTAATTTATATTCGAAGTCCGGATTGTGTGTCCTGCCCAAAAATTGATTATCAAAAAAGAAAAAAAAAAAAAAAGGAAATTTATATTCGAAGAGGATAAAAAAGCAGCTCACCAGTGATCGGGGTAAATATGAACTGATGCGAAATCAATGGTTGAGAGCTTGGAATTGCGAATGAAATCAGTGCCGATATCAGATGCCCAGAACTCGGGATTCACGGTTAATCTTTTAGGACTTTTGGGTCCGTAAAATCCTTCGAGTCCCACAGTTATCAAATGGTTCCTGTCGATTGATTTCACGAAAGTCGACATTTCTTCAATCCAATCCTGCATTTGTACAACACGCGGTTAAATATTCAATGATTTTAATATTTAAATAGTATTCTTGCATAATAATAATCGTTTTTTCTCGATTGGAAGATGACAAAGTACGCCTTTATAGAAATAGCTTAATCAAGTGAGGCATGTTTGAAATCTTAGCTTGCAAGATCATGATATCACAATTAGAATTTTCCAGTGGCATAATGGAACTAGAACTTTTTTAAATGTGGTTGAAAAGTGAAATAGTTACAAATAGTGCCTATTGGCTCCCGCCTATTACAGAAACTCCATATGTCTTTTGAAAGCATAAATAAAGGAGAAATAAATGTCGATGTATTATTTTTTAATTTTATAATGATAAGTAATACAGTTTTTGTGATTAGGACAAAACTTAGGAGTAGTTTTTCCACATAACCTAAACTAAAGTTAATTTGTAGATGATGACAACTATATTGAGATTCGACAAATTTGTCATTGCACCATGAAGCTGATAGCTGCCGTGGTTCAAACACAAAATTTATCGAACCAAACAAATAAAAATTGGATTAACACTCAAAAATAGATTGAATGTCCAGATCATGCTAACTAGAACTGCAGGATTGTGCAAATAACAATGAATTTAGAGAAAGTTTAGATATAATTAGCAAACATAATTATGCGATATCATGCAGTATCATTTTCTATATATTTCACTATGATAAGAAATTTTATACGAACCTGAAGAGTATCACCAGATTTATCAGTTATGCAACGGGGCTCATTGATTAACTCCCAAGCAAAGATGGTTGGATCATCCCTATACTCAACTCCAGTTATGGTGTTCCTCCTCGTTAGAACAGTCTGCCAAACAATAATAGTAATATTAATAATAATAATAATAATAATAAAGCTGTTAAATAAACTCCAAATATCTGATGTAATGTACTGAAGATGAGAAGAACAATAATGCTTAAGGTTAAGTATGGAATTGCTTCTGTTCTACTTTTCCAACGGTTTGGGAATATGAAATCATATTGTTTTCGTAACTTTGAATTGGAAATTGAATCATTTTCAGTTTTTGCTTCTCATAAAAGTTGAAAATTTAGACAACTCAGCGATCAAATTTCCATTATAAACACACAAAACTGTATAAAAAATGTTACAAAGCAAATATGTCAAAAATAAAAAATTGACACATTTTGCCAAAATATTTCACTTGAAATTCCAGACAGCTAACTAGAAAACATATTGTAAATTTTTATAGGAAATCAATATCTTTTTCCAATTTTCATTTTCAACAATGATGGAAACAATTCTAAACATCACCTTAGGTCCTTAGCGGTGGATATCAAACTAGAAAGAAGAAATGTGTATGTGAGCTGATTGGTGGGGGGAGACGTGTCACGTTTTCTCACTTTGCAACATTTATAGTGAAAAATGAAAAAAATAATAATAATAACAAGAAAGTTGACACCAAATATTCTTGTTCGCTAGAAGCTTATGTCCTGTTTCCAAAATATAGCGATGTGGGGACCATAGTTACCGAGAAAATCAATGGAACTTGATATCATATCATAAAATTATTAGCATATAGAAACTTTAAATTTTTGCCAAATTTAGCAAACTAATTTCAAATACTTTCAGGTTATTTCCTGATCATTTGTGAGTGCATGAGTAGACGCATATGGACTACGTCAATTTGAGGCTATACTTATTTTAAAAGATAAAATAAAAAACTATACGAGATTTAACTTATGTCAAGACTTTATCAGCTTATGTCATGATAGAACATGTTGTTCTTTTAACTTAGGAAGAGAACTAAAGAAAAAAAAGAAGTGCTACTTTATCAAGATATGTGACATAATGGGCACTTCAATTAAGAAGTGTTAACTTAAGATTTGTCAATACCATGGTAAGATACACAATTGATGGCCAACAAAGATTGTGTATCCATTTTTCATGTATTTAAATGAATACATTTGTTTTATGAGTGTTTATAGACATACAACAAAAAAAAAAAATCCATGTATAAATTTAGACTTTATGCCTTATTTTTTATTTTTATTTATTTTTTTGTTTGACAAGTTAATGGTTTCCATGTACTAAATTGAATATATTCAGTATTTTGAATGTGTTTCTGGACAAAAAAGTCGATTTATTTTGAAGGTGCTCTTTACATGGGTTGATTATAGATTTAAAAAAAAAAACAAAAAAACAAAACAAAACAAAACTGCTCTCTTATGTTTGGATAATCATATTTCGAAGTTATTGTGAAACTGAAACCGACAATTCCCAGTAAGAACTGAATGGTACAAACATAAAATCTTCTTCTTTAAATAGTTGGAAAACATTGCATTAAGCTTAAAACACAGCAATAGAAATTCATAAAAAAATAAAGGAAATCATATTTATCCATGTGAACTTAAGATCCAACTCAATGATATTAAAATAGTATAGATATAATCGCTCTGCTTTGATAATGCTTGTGTATTGTAAGCAAACACAAGGATTCTCCATCCTTCCAGAGTTGTCCTAAAGGCGCAGCCAAACTAATGACTCATGCGGATAGAAACAAATTATTCAAAATTTGCAGGCTGTATGATGTATGAATATTAACTACAAAGGTGTGAGATTCCTAAATTAGGAAAGAAATTCCAAGTTCTCATAGATATGATGTAAATAAACTTTAACGGCTTCATAGCAAGACAATTAAAACCTTACAACAGATTTTCCAATCAAAATATAACGGTAAATACTGGATAAACTTGAAGAAAAAAAAAGCATATAATAATTACCTTGACATAGTTCTTGAAATAGTGCCTTATTGACGGGTCGTAAAAAAACGAATCATTTGAAGAACTTAAGCCAACACCTTCATCCCATGCCCATTTAACATACTGCGTTTTGCCACCGTATGCTTGAAGATTATTGACTAAACATAGCATTAGCCTTATCCCATACCTCCTTGACTCCGCAATAACATGATCCAAGGCCTGCCGTTTTATTACATCTGACTCATTAAAAATCGGTTTCACAAACAAAAAAAAAAAGATTACAGCGCGATAAAAAGTAGCAATTACAGATAAAAACAAAAAACGAAGACGATGTCTTCAAAATTTGGTGGGCCATAGCCATAAATTGGGTAAAAACAAATGATCAACTGATACAGGGTGAGAGTAATGAACGCAACTCCATGCGGGAACCGCGAAGTAACAACCTTTTTCTAGATAAAGGTCAACAAATTTCAGATTAAGTTTTTTACTTTCAACGATTTTTACCCACGCAATTAACCTTACAAGTAGGGTAAAATGACACGAACAGCAAACCTTACGAGGAAAATGTAATGATCAACTCAAATGAAAAGATTTAAAAACACGAATTACACCACCCATATACTGCTCTATGTTCTCAAATATCACCAAACTTCAGTTAAATTCAATTTCGACCACGATAATCTGCAAGAAAGGATAGTACTACCAGCAATCTGAAAACAATAATTCACTAACTATGCTAAGAAAATTTCTTACTCTGAACACTCTCTCATCAAATCGACCAGGTGAAATTTGAAGGGCATTATAGTCACCATCATTAAAAGCCCATGTTCTGCAAACAGTGAGACCCATCCTAGCACCAGCTTGCAGTATTGTCCTGATTCTATACTTGGTAGATTCATCCACGGCATGGTCCATCATCCAATAAGAGTTCCACCCATTAAAATAGAAAGGCTTACCATCAACAAGGAACTGAGTACCATTTCTCTCCACAAAACTAAGTTGTACTTCACTGTGAATATTGATCCACAGATCACCAAAGGATAAGTATATGAAGGCCACACACGATGCAAAGCCCACAATAGGGTAGAAAACCCCATTACCCCCAAACATTTTGCTCTTAACCATCAAAATGGATGGAGAAATAAGGGACTAAACAGGAAACAAACAAAAAATAAAGGTAAAAGAACTAATTTTTTAGCTATAAAGAAGCAGAAAATGGGCCAAGATTACGCCTTTAAGCCACAAACAACCAAAATAGCTATGGAACAAGGAACCCAAAATGGAAACTGTTAGAATTTTTCAATTTCGGATCTATTCAGTTCCCAAAATTGATGATTTGTAGAAAAAGACAAGGATTTTGAAGGGCAGCCCAGATCTCCGTAAAAGGGTATTTTCAAGAATTAGTTGAAAGACGGCCTAAGTCCAATAAACCATCAATGAAACCTCAAGGTTCAGTTGCCATGGCAGAAACAGGTGTAAAGGAGATGATGACACTGTGTGTGAGTGTGAGGGTGCGTGCGTATGTGTTTCTGTGTCCTGTAATAATGTTATAAATCTGATAATGGGGTCATAGAAATTATAGAATTAGAAACTGCTTCAAATGAAAAAGGGCGAGGGACCTTATGCAAGAAATTAGGGAAAGGCAAAGCTTATATACCAATAGGAGAAAAGCGATGTAAAGATAATTGAGAAATTTTAATGAAGACGATGGTGGAATGTTGGTGTCAATAGACTAGATCTGAAGTTTATAATTTAACTTTTTTTCTTCTTTTTTCAGATTTTGATAATTATGTTCTCAAAGGGTCATTTATGATGTAGGCCTTGTATCTTCGTCACAATTTTTTCTATTTAATTTTCTTATCATTATCGAATATAATGTTTAAAAAAGTATTTTATCCCTTTCTTATTCTTTTTTCACTATATTTAATATTATCTTATCATGATCTTATGATATCACTCTTCCTTTGAAAAATAGATAAAATCAGGCATTACATTAAAAAAATAATGTCGGTTTTAGTGCAGTAAGACTCTTGTGACATTTTTTCCCCTACAAAAATATACATACATATATGATTCGAATGTCATACTTTTTATACAGAAAAAGTATAAATATATATTTTTATTAGAAAAAAATATATCAATTCATCCCAGCTAATAATTTACTAAACTTGCGGATTTCAACAAAGAAAAGATGCCTCTTTTCTGAATCTTATTGAGTACAATTTGGTGCAGGGTCATTAGAAAGCATCAGATTTAGTTAGTGCCCATGTGGGACTGAACTATATTAGGTATAGTGTAGTTAAAATGCAATAATTTTCATTATCCAAGGTCTTTTGTCTCTGTTGTTTCCTGTTTTGCTTAACATGGTTTGGTGTGATAAAATGTGACTCTCCTTTATGTCTATAATCTTTCTGTTGCTCTACGCATTGTAGTCGAGAATAATTTCACAATATGAACATTGTAAGTTGAAATTCGTGCAGAAGTTCTAAGTTGCATAAGTTTTAGCATATATCATATGTAGAAAATTCCAATTTTTAATAAATAAAATAGAGAATTTTGAGGAAATATTGTTGGATTCTGTTATTTATTGTCTATATAGACTATATTTATGTATGTAATATTTCACTAATGTGAAACTTTATTGTGGCGATCAAATAGGATTTTTTTTTCAATTTTGTATGGTCGGACATTTTTTTTTTCATATAAATAATAAATTGATACAAAATATTAAAAAAAACACGATTTGTTAGACTATATTTAAAAAAACATGATATAAATTAATTTATATCGCTTTATCTCTTATTAATTATTTGTTAGACTATATTTAAAAAAAAAACACGATATGAATTAATTTATATCGCTTTATCTATTATTAATTATTACAGGTCGCAATGGTATATTTATATATTAATGTTGATGTTTATTCAATGAAAACAAAAGGTCTACAAAATTCTTGATAGGTCTTAAGAAATTCATAGAAGTCCCGAACAATATTACATGTCACTTATGGATATTTCTAATAATTTCCACAAAATCAACGAGAATTGATAAAATCTCATAAAATCGTAATATTAACAAAATCTTAAAATGTTTTTTAGAATCTTGGGAATACAGCCCCACCCCCTCCCTAAATAACTCAAATGTAAGAGTTATCACTACAAAAAAATTGTTATATTCCAACATAAAATCCTATGGTAATATATTCGAATGAAAATTCCAACGGATATTCCAATGGTATAGCTTCCGTTTGAATGATTCCAACAAAAATATTCCGTTGGATTGTATTTTTCATTAGAATTTTAGATGAAATTTGATGATTCCAACGGCTTTTCAACGTAAGAATTTTTGTTGGAATATGCAATTTCTATAGGAATTTTTATTTCCACAATCTTTGGAAAATCTACTGTTGGAATCGTCAAAATTCAATGGAAATTCCAACAGAAAACTCATTTAATTTTTGTTGGATTTCCGTTTGAATAATTCCCAACGGAAATAATAACATTGAAATATCTATTGAAATTGTCGTTGAAATTCTATTAGAATATATTTCCGTTTGAATTTCATCATTTTTCTTGTAGTGTATTGACCAAATCTTTGAAGCCACTTCTATCCCAACATTGAAGTTCGGTGAGAGCATTGTAAATGGTTAAAAGAAATCAATTGTACCATTTACATTACAACATTAAGCACACACCATTTTATCAAAGGATTCCATTATTCTCTCTTCGCATTTAATTCACATCAATATTCAATTTTTACTCTAAATATAACCCCTTATCACTAGGTTAAAAAAAGTAAACTCTTCAACCAGTTTTTAAACAAACAATGCATCAAAACATTTGCACTTACCCAATTTTCCAAGCCGATCATCATATCAATGCATGCCGCGTTTTATAATTAAGATGCATGCATATGTGCACCCCAAAAATCATCATCATATTAAGTAAAAGTGAAATTAGACATCTAAATTGAAATAATAATAATTGCTGTGTAGTTGACTACAATGGATCATGAAGGTGGTGTAGGCGTTTTGAGCAACATGGACTTAAAATCATTGAAATTTTTTCTTATATATCTTATCTTATTATATATGTTTGTTATGATGGCTTTTCGTTTGCCCAATCATCTTGTCATTTAATGTTGAAAATGAATTGCTTTAATTGAGTTATACTTTTTAATAATCATATCATCCCAATATTAGTGGTTCTAGCCAGAACATACTTTAATTAGTTACAAAAGATCATTTCAATATGATTCAATTAGTTGTAACTGAACTGAGATCATCTATAGTCTATACACTGGTTTCATTTTTTTTTTTTCTACTNAAATTTTATTTTTCTTTTTATAGTGGCGGATGCCGTAAAAGAAGAAAAATAACAATGAATGAGAATTATAATAGAAATATAAAAAGACATAACTTCCAAAATGCTCGGCCCGAGTCTGCCCGGGCATTGCCAGAGTCGATTTTTAACTGGGCCAAAAAAAATAAAAAATCTTCTCGCTATTTTCTCCATTGCTAACCCATAAAGATAGTCAAAAAATCTATGGGCCTAACAGGCCAACTTAGAAATGGTCAAACCATAAGGCCCAAATATTTTCAGGCCTTTGAATCATTAGGTCAAGCCCATCAAATGATCAGGCCAACCCCGGTGGACTGGTGCTATTAGATATTTTTTTTTATTTAGTAGTTGGATAAATTTTTTTAGACGGAACTATGTGATTGGATATAAATTTCAAAATTCATTATTTATCTAATTCAACTTATCTCTTCTTAATATATAAATATAATTATATAATATCAATTAAACATTACTGGATAAATTCTAACAACATTAATTATTTATCCATTCGTATGTTTTTAACTACCAATCAATCATTTAACAATATTATTTTACTACTTTCAAATAATATCAACTTTAATAATTACATTTTAATGCATGTACACTCTCAAACTCAAAATTAAATCCATATTTTCTACTCAAACAAACTTGTTTATGCTCATTCATTTTATCCAATAAATCAATTTAAATCTCTATCTCTCTCTATGTTAGATGAGTTTATGACTTTATTCCTCCTAATTTTGGAAGGTTTTCTTCATAAAATCATGTTCTCTAACTTCTCCCCCTAATATTTGGGGCAAGTAAGACTATCCTTATCCCCAACCCAACCTAACAATTAAAAATTATTTCTCTCTCCTCCACCTACACAACTCAACCTTACAACTTAATTTATCTGTATCCCCAACCCAACTCAACATAAATATTCATTTTATTTTAATTAAATTAAATTTTTTAATTTTATTTCAAAATATATCAAATGTGATCTCTATTTGTAGAGAATTAAAAATATAAATTTTAGTAATTTTTTTATTTTATTTTTTTAATTAAAAAATCACATTTACCCAATAAAAATTGGGACAAATCACATAAGGAAGGTCGCGACCCAAGGTCACATTGTGACCTGGGTCGCTGAAACTAGGCGCACTTCTTTTTTTTTTTTAGTTTTTAATGCCGTGACCCATCCATGGGGTCACGGATAAAGATGGTCTAACACAACTTGTCAACTTCTCTTGTGAGACGATTTGAATGTTGGACAAGTCTATTCATACTTTTTTTTTAAAAAAGAAATACACAATTTACTACAGGATGTTATATCTTAAACTTTTGTTTTTGTTGTTTTTTAGAGTACCATAATTTAATTTATAAGTATGCACACCTGTTTAAAAATATGATTAGATTTATTTAACAATAAGAAGTATAACAAGAAAAATGTTCTTGGTGTGACAATTTAATTATGATATATTACTTGTCTTATTTTCTATTTTTCAAATGGACTAGAACTAAAAAAATAAATAAATGGACACATTGAAAGGCCTATTGTATAATTTCATCATTAAATTACTTTTATGCGAACGGGCCTAACATTATGAAATTGCAAGCAATCTTATTTTATTCTCTCAAGTTATTTGTTATTTCCATTTCATCAAGATACAACCATTAATAGCAAAAGCTAGCCTACTTAGAAAGACAAAAATCAAATCATTTTTTTTTTGTAAAAAAAAGATGATCCAATTTTGACTGGGGTGCTTGGCTTTTTGGCGCGTTATATTTCCTTCAAAATTTTCTATATGGCGATGGCGCCAAGTTTCCCGCCACACTCCGTCAACAACTCCCCACTACAAAGCTCACACACCAAACACACTTCACATCCACACACACTCAAACACACACAAGCAATCAATCATTCACAGTCTGCAGCCATGGTCGTAGCTCTTGGCCCCGGCAAATTCTACGGCAGCAGCCTGCCCCGCCCCCGGTTCTACACCGACGTCAAATTAAACCCCGAGCGGGTCGACCCGCCGCCCCTGGTCCTGGACCCACTCATGTCCTGGGCGATGGATGCCCATTGGTCCATGGGCGGCCTAAGCTTCAAGCGCCACCGCCTCCAAGGTCGGATCGAGGGCAAGGTCGAGAGGCTCCGAACCCAGCGGGAGCAGATCTCCAAAAAATCCGCCGGAGATTCGCCCGCTGTCAAATCCGGTAAGAAAGGCGGCACCTCCAGGGTGAGAAATTCTCCGTCTCCGTCTCCACCGCCGCCTCCAGTGGCTCTCAAGCGACGCAGGGTTGTTGGGTTGATTGATGAGGAGGATGACGAGGAGGTGGATGTTCCGCCGGCGAAGAGGGGACCGGTGAGGAAATTGGGGGATGATTTCGAGAGGGTTGCAAGGGAGAGCGGGATTGGCGCCGCCAGTGGCGGCGAAGCTGGTGGTGCTGTGGCGGGGAGGACGAGGAGTAAAAGGGTTGAAGTGGGCGCGGGTGCTGTTGAGAGGAAAACGAAGAAAAAGAAGAAATTGGTCAAGGGAGTGAGAAGGATTGGGGCTGCGGTGGCCACTGGAAAGAGAAGCTCTCCGAGGCTGGCCAAGAGCGGTGGGTCATTATAAAAGGTGTTTGATGATATGCCTGAGTGGATAAATGAAAAAAGAAAAAGGAACGGAAACGTTGTATTTATTGCTGTTATTTTATTTTTATTTTTATTTCTGGCTAGGTTGTGATTACTTGCTATACTCCGACATTGCTTGTGCTTGAATTCCGATTAAGAAACACCAGATCTGTTTTTAATTGTGTAAAGTTTTTGTTGAGCCTTACTTTGTTTAGCCTCAATAATAGAATTCCAGAAAATTTAATTCAAAAATGCCTAAACAGAAAGTAATCTATTAGAAGTTGTCCATCTTATTGCGATGATTCTCTGTTTTGGCTGCGTTTTTTGTTTATTGGATGAGTTTTCTGTCTATTAGATGATTTATTAGTTATTGTGATTTGTTTTAAGTTCTCGTTATGGACTATCTCTTGATTATTTTGGTTTATCATTGAGGATTTCTCTTTCAATAGTCTTCACAGATTGTCCTTCGGTGACTTGCAAGTAGTTGAGAAAGTCCCCGTAGAACCTCAATACTGAAGTTGACATTATATGGGGAGAGAAAATGAGAAGAAAAAATTTTAAGGGCGTAATTGTAGTATATGATTTGTACAGTAAATATTCCACTCAAAACTTAAATTTAACTCAACTTTAATTCAACTCTACTATCTTTAATATTATCAATATAATTAAATAATATCAACTAATCATTATTACATATCACATCAACTTTAATTCACTATTCACTCACTTACATAATTTTAACTAACATCACTTCCAATCATTTTCTCATATTTTTACATCAAATCAATTTTAATTATTTTAATTTAAGTATTATTTAATATATTCACTAACAACTAACCATACTACTTTTTTTTTTCAAACTTAACTATAGTTAAAAAAAAATTAGTTTTTTACTAGTTGAATTCATATTCAATCACCTCCTAAAAAAAACAGGGTTCTTTTAATCTATTTTACATTGTATCATAACCTTACTTTACTTATTTGAGCATTTTTTAAAGGATTTATCGAGATTTGTTATCTTATGACAACATTCACCACAACAATAACTCCCCTAAAAACATCTATAATGTTTTGGGTTCAGTCATAAAAAATGATGTCACTTAGAAAATACACCCAGTCTAACAAAATTTATTCTCCAATGCAAGGGTAAGTAAACTGGGTCATGTTGATGCGGCCGGAAGAAAAAGAAATTCGGTTTACCCTTAAGTCTATCTTAAAATCCAAGTAGATATTTAGTCTTTTTGCATTTGAGTGAATTTTATTAATTTTATATAGTTTTATTCATGTAATTCAAAACTTGAATTTATTTACATGCCAATAAACAAGAATAAACCCTATCATTGTAGATGCTCTAAATAAATCGGTATCATAACTCCCTGTTATACTTGGCTAGATATGGCCATTGCTAGCAGTCTGTTTTTTTA